AAAAAAAAAAAAAAAAAAAAACAATGAGGCCTTCTTGTCAACTTTATTTTACCCCAGGGAGACTCATATTATACTCCTGACCCAAAGCCTGTAATATAAAATTTTTGTTGCTGCATGTCTCTAAATTTCTGATTTACTTATAAAAACAACTGATACAAATTCTAAGAGTTCTCCATGTCAGCTTCCTAGATAGATTAACATACCTATCAACGTCAGGGATAAGAAAGGTTTTATTACATTACCTTTACAAGACAGGCAGGGCCCTTCTCACCAGGCAGTGGAAAATTCAGATCAAAAGGAGAAGAGAGGTTCAGGGAGTTCAGCTGTTGCCCTGTGGAAGCTTCAGTTTCTAAACGTTTTGGCTCTCCACACCACTGAAGACCACTGACGCTCCCTAAATTCAAAGGACAGCACTGTGTTTAGTCATTTCTAAGGCATCCTGAAGAAAACATTCCAAAAGTGTTTCTCAAATTAGACAGAAATGTTTCTGAGTTTGAAAAGATCACATTGTTATAATTTTAATAACACATACTAATAAAGCCTTTGATCTACAAGAGAGCAAAGATAAAGTATGAATCAGAAAATTTTAATTCTTTCCCTATTATAAAATAGCAACAAATCACTCCTATCAAACTCATGTAAAGTGGGCTCGGGGATACAGCTCAGCAGTATAGCAGCTGCCTGGGAAACGCAAGGTCTTGAGTTTGATTCCTGGCACAAACAAAAAATGCCCCCCAAAAAACCTCATGTAAGTATTTTTAAAAGTAAATATTCAATACAGTTACTTCGATATCCCTGATTCAGGAAATACATACACTACTTACTACAAAATAGCTTGGTAGGACACACTTTCTTTATACATACTAGGCAGAATAAAGCCAGACACCAATAAAGTCATCTAACAAACATTTATTAATATCCACTATAGGGGCTGGGGATTTAGCTCAGCGGCAAAGCACCTGCCTGGCAAGCGCAAGGTTGTGAGTTCGGTTCCAGGTACCGGAGAAAAACCAAAACCAAAAAAAAAAAAAAAAAAATCCACTATCTACCAAGGTATCAGACAAATTCATGGGAACATATAGGTCATTAAAAGATAGCTCTTTCTCCTATAGGAGTTCCAGTTTAGGGCTGATAGCTAATTAGAATAAAAACATAGCCTATCATACACTATTCAGCAATAAAAAGGAATAAATTATTGATACATACAACAATTTGGATGGATCTCAAGTGAATTATGCTGAATAGAAAAACCCAGTCCCCAAAGTTTATACATGATTCCATTTATATAACATTCACTGAGATTCCATCTAACTCCAGAAAAAATGGCTATTATCAAGAAATCAACCAGGGGCTGGGGATTTAGCTCAGCGGCAAAGCACCTGCCTGGCAAAAGCAAGGTCGTGAGTTCGATTCCTGGTACTGGAAGAAAAACAAACAAACAAACAAACAAAAAGAAATCAACCAATAACAAATGCTGGCAGATGTGGGGAAAAGGAACCCTTTTCCACTGTTGGTGGGAGTGCAGACTGGCACAAGCACTATGGAAATCAGTGTGGAGATGCCTCAAAAAACTAAAACTAGAGGTTCCATGCAACCCAGCTATTCCCTTTTTGTATCATCCTGAAAGAATTAAATCCATCATGCCATGGCAATATATGCACACCCATGTTTTGTGGCACATTTTGTAATAGCTAAATCTTGGAAAAATCCCAGATACCCATTAACTGATGAATGGATACAAGACGTGGTTTTTTATATAACGGAGTTTTACTCAGCCATAAAGAAGGATAAGCTTGAGACATTTCCAGCTAAGTAGAGGCACCTTGACACCATACTCTTAAGTGAAATAAATCCGACACATGTGTACATATCACATCGTTTCTCTGGCGTGAGAAACCAAGAGTGTAAACAAGGGCTAAAATGTTTAACAGATATTGGGAAATGGCAAGAAAATGTTCAAATGAGAACTTGGGGGCCAGGCATGGTGGCACACGCCTGTAATCCCAGCACTCGGGAGGCTGAGGCAGGAGGATGGTTGCAAGTTCAAGATCAACCTGGGCTACAAAGTGAGCTCAAGGCCAGCCTGAACTGCATAGCGAGATCCTGTCTTAAAAAGAACAAAAAAAAAAAAAAAAAAGAGAAGGAGAACTTGGGAAAGGGGGTAGGAAAGAAGAGACAAGAAAAAAAGAAAAAGATGGCAACAAAGCTTTGGAGGGAGGGAAGAGGAATGGGGAAAAACGAGAATCAAGATTTATCATGTACAGGTACAAACTCCCTATCATGAATGCTATCATTATGTATATCTAAAATGTACCAATAAAATAAAAAGAAAAAATATTCTTATAATTCCAAATTTACAGAAGTAGAGAACAGATTATTAGTTGTCAGGGTGCAGGGACTTGAATGGGAGAGATAAGCGTGAACAGGGCCAATGGCAGAGTTAGGTCTGAATCTTGACTCTTAGCATGGCTACACGTGGTAAAATTGCACAAAACTAAATACACACAAACAAATGCCTGTATGTATGAGCAAGGCTGATAGATTGTATCAGTGTTCATTTCCTGGTTAGATATTCCACTAACATTATGCAAGATGTCACCAATTAAGGGTATATGAGAGATCTGGCTTGTTTTGTTTTGTTTTGTTTTGAAGTTTTTTTGAGACAGGGTCTATGTAATTCAGGCTGGCCTCAAACTTACAACCTCCTGCCTCAGCCTCCCAAGTGTTGAGATTATAGGTATGCACCACCACACTCAGCTGCTATACTATTTCTTATAACTGAATGTAACACTACATATCTCAAAATAAAAAGTTTCCATATATAAAAATTGCCTAGAAACCAACAAGTTGAGTTCCACATAAATAAGGTAATCAAGTATATAAAAAGCACTATAGTATCACATTCATTTAAAAAAGGGCAAGAAGCCAGGCGTGGTGGAGCACACCTCTAATTCTAGCATGCCTCTAATTCTAGCACTCACGAGGCTGATGAAGAAGGATTGCTGTGAGTTCCAGGCCAGCCTGGGCTACATAGTGAGTTCAAGGCCAGGCTGAACTACATAAAGAAACCCTGCCTCAGAAAGACAAAAATAAACAGATAGATAAATAAACAACAAAGGGCAAGAAACAGAGGTAGGTGTGGTGCACGCCTGTAATTGCAGCATTCAGGAAGCTGAGGCAGGAGGATCACTCAAGCCTTAGCTCCACCAGGGCTAGGCCAGTTCAAGGCCAGCCTGGAATGCACAGGGAACTCCCACTTTAAATCTCCACCCACCAAAAAATCCCTAAACAGGGTGAGGGGGCAAGAAATATAAAGGAACATCAATTACTTAAGTGATAAGAGAATTACCACATTTCTTGGGTTTAAATACATCACTTACTCTTATTCATTTTAAAGAAATGTGGGGATGAGAAAAAGAATACTAATATATTTGTATAGTTACACCCCCAAACTCTAAACTACCCACAATTTTGATAAAGAAGAAGGCTGCCACATCATTAGCAGCTTCTAAATCTAGAAATAAACAAAACAAAAAAATATATCTATATTTTTGGAGACACGGTCTTGCTTTGTAGCCCAGGCTGATCTAGAACTTGCAGTGATCCTCCTGCCTCAGCCTTCCAAGTGCTAGGATTACAGGCATGTACCACCATGCCCAACTCTTAGAACTATATTATGTAACAATCAATTCTATAAACAAACCCACTATACAGCAAGGCAGGAGACATCTACAGGAAGCCTGCTGGTATACACTACCTGCTTGTCTGGCACCTGTGTGTTGGTCTTTCTGTTTATGGGGCTGTAGGTCCATATCTTCGTCATCTTCGTAACTCCTCTTATGACGACTGGGAGTGTAGGATGTCGAGGGACTGACTCGAGCTTGGTTTGCATTAACATAGGCGTTAAATAAAAGGTTAAGAAAAGAACTACCATGAGCTGAGGAATACCATAAATTACGCTAATTATATGACTGACAAAAGATTACTAGTTACAAAGACCACAATATGCAATGTATCAACTATTGTAACTGTCCCACTAACCTGTTTTGAAACTCAGTCTCACTGTTACATTTATCTTTTTTTTCTTTAAAATTAAAAAAAAAAGCTTACTAGTTTGGTAATTTATTAAAAATAAAGTAGTTTTTAAAGGGGGCCATATCTCCAGTTTCGGTCATAAAAACCTTATGTCTCCTATGATCGATGTAAACAATCATAAAACTGGACAAAATAAGTGAAACAACTATTTTCAGGTGCTGGACAATATCGAGCAGAAGGTTACAGTCAGTGAATGAGGAGAGGCACACCAGTCAAGTCCACATCGCCTCAGCTCTCTGGGAGAAGCATTTTCCGAACTGCAGCAACTTACTCTTGGGTGCAGGGAATACAGCACATAGTTCAGGGTTACTGGAGCAACTACAGTTTATAGGAAAGAAAAACGCAGATGAAGATGGAAGACGGAGAAATCTGTGCTGGTTCCCTCTGTATTTTTGTCCAAATGCTTTCTTGAGGCTTACCAGCTGCTGCTGAGCTAAGAATTAAATAAAGCTGCTGGAAGTGCTACAACTGGATCTTGCTGAACATCCTAGGCATTTAAGACCTTGAATAGCACATTTCGTAAGTACTTCTTTATACAGCAAGAGATAGCTATTCCATACCTACCTTAGCAAATCCCCAAGCCAGGACTTTACAAAATCAAATGCTGTAGTAAACTACCTGTTAGAAACTAACATAACATTCTTTTTTTGAGTGGGAAACTCCTACGCTGCCTAAGGTGGTCTCCAACTCCTGGGCTCAAGTGATTATGCCAACTTTAGCCTCCCAGATAGCTAGGACACCAGGCATCCACCATTCTTTGTTGTTGTTGTTGTTTTGTTTTTGAGACAAAGTCTTGCTTTGTAGTGCAGGTTAGTCTCAAAAACGCAGTGATCCTCCTGCCTCAGCCTCCTGAATACTCTCCACAAAGTTGTCTATCAGCATATAACACATCCTTAGTAGTTATGTGAAGCAAGAAAAATTAGAATCAGTCAGTAAAAACTCAGAGATGACCCGGACATGGCAATTAGCAGAAAGGACATGAAAACAAAATTGTAATTCACAACTTCAAGAGAAAAGAGATATAATGAGTAAACAAACAGGAAAATTAGCAGAAAAATACAATGAGAAAACCAAATGAAAAAATCTTAATCTGAAAATATCTGAAATGAAAAAGAAAAACTAAATGGGAGATAAAAAAAAACTAAATGGAGTTGATAGGAAAGTAGAGTTAAGAGAAGGCCAGTGAACTTGAACACAAGTTCTCTTTGTGAAACGCCAAACAGAAATATGGAAGTAACCAAAGGAAACAAAAAACCTTGTTCAGGGGAGCAATAAGAATCACACCTAGCCATTTAATAAAAAAATAACAGTGAGCCAGGCACAGTGGCACACACCTGTAATCCCAGCACTCAGAAGGCTGAGGCAAGAGGACCATTGCGAGTTTGGGCCAGCCTGGGCTACATAGTGAGTTCAAGGCCATTCTGAACTACACAGCAGGATTCTGTCTCAAAAACAAAAACAAACCAACAATAAGCAGCGGCCAAAGGACAAAGGTACAATATCATTAAAACACAGGGAAGGGGAGTAGGTGTGGTGGTGCACACCTGTAATCCCAGCTCTGGCCAGGCTGAGGGAGGCAGACTGCTGTAGGGTGCAGGCCAGCCTACACTACACAGTCAGTTCAAGGCCAGTCAGAACTAGAAGACAGTATCTCAAAAAACCAGGGAAAAAACAGAAACACACTGCAGCAACCAAATAAAACCTCTTATAAATCTGTGCACTTCAGTGTGAGCCATGACTAAAAAATTATAAGACAAAAGAAAAAAAGACGTATTTCCAGTGTTTCTCTCAAAAGAACATGCTGTTTTCCTTAAGAAAATGAATTCTAATTTGAAAGTATTTTAACCTAATTATCATGGTACTCTTTTAATATCTATAAATCTACCCAAATCTTTTATTTGATGACTGACTGACTGTGGTCCTGGACACTGAACCCAGAGCCTCACACTGAGCTACGTCCCCACCCTTTTTTATTTTTTACGTTGAGATAGGGTCTCACTGAGTTGCCCCAGCTGGCCTCATATTTATGATTTTTCTGTCAGCTTCCAGAGTAGAGATTATAGGAATCTACTACCACACCTGGAAAATTCAATCTTTTTCACAGTACTTAAACTGTAAGAACGTACCAGAATTTTAGCATTTTTCAATGAATACTCAGGTTAGTTTATATTAAAATAAAGCAAAGCTTTGTAAATGAGGAATAATTTTTTAGCAGTAAGACAACTAGAAACTTGAAATCTGAACAGCCAGGCGTGGTGGTGCATGCCTATAATCCTAGCACTTGGAAGGCTGAGACTAGCCTCAGCTACATAAGCAAATTCAAGGCCAGTCTACACTGCACAGTGAGACTCTATCTCAAAAAAAAAAAAAAAAAGAAAAAAAGGAAAGGAAAGGAAAAAAAAGAAACTTGAAATCTGAATTGTTGTCTTTTTCATTAAAAATAATTAGAAATGATTCACATGTTTCAGATAAAGGATATTTCTTTTACCCATGTAGATTCCCCAGGCACTGGAACACAGTAGAAAGTCTGCCTTTCCAAAGTGGTAGATCGTGGAGAGTTTAAATCAAGTTCTTGTTGAGGCTGTGATACACACAAATATATTTTCAAAAATTAAGAAAAACAAATTATTTTAAATTAGCAAATATATTTTCATATTTATAAAACTATAATATATATGTCACCTCAAGTTAATTAACAACTAGTTCCTACCATTTTTAAAAGAAACTGATAAAATAGTTTCAAATGTAATAACCAAAACACTAATTCCCTCAAGCCCATAATACATGGTACCCTAGGTGACAAACTGAAATTTGCACGAGGGGGCAGTAGTGAGGATTGAACCCAGGCCTTCACACTGAGCTATAACACTGGCCCTTTATTTTGAGACAGGTGGGGCTAGAACTTGCAATAGAGTGCTTTAAATCCTCTTCAGTTTTCTTCACTAAGCTATATTACACCATCATCCACTGGAAAAAAACTACATGTTACTATGTTATTCTAATAGATTATCCTTCCTTAAAGGATTTGGTTAATCTTTCACTTTCATTTAAAAAGAATTTACATGTACTTTAAAACCAAGTATACAGATACTAGGAAAAGAATTTTGTCACATACAATATTCTGCTTTCTGAGAGACCTTTAAAAGACAAAAACATAATAAGAAAATCACATCAGAAAAAATTTTTTTAATATATAGGAACTTTTTTTTTTCTATTTTGTTTTGGTTTTGATATTTTGAGACAAGGTCTTGCTATATAGTTCAGGCTGCCCTTGTACTCACTATATAGCAAAACTTTTAAACCAAATAAGGAAATATTGGACATGATATTATAGAACCTGTTATACACAAGGTAAAACAGGAGTAAAACCAAAATAATAACAATAAACTCTCTGCTGAGGAAAAAAATTCTTATTAAAGTTGTTCTATATATCTTAAAGATACATACCCCACACTCTGCTATATCTCTGTATTTTCCAAAATGAAGAACCTATGACCCAAAACAAAAGGTAACATAAATTATATCAACATAATACCACAACATTATAAGCAGAAAGTTTCACGAAAAAAGCAATACATACACGGGCTTTTGTGTTTTGGTTAACCGTTTCATAAACTCCCATGTAAAACTCAGGGTCAAACATATCCTGAATCATGCAACGAAATTTCACAAAGCTGTTAGGTTTCAAATAATGAAGGGGAACTTCATTCAGTGACGGTACCTTAAAAGAAAATAACCAAGTAAGTCAACAAAATGTCCTATCTGTAAAATATTAAGCATGCATACATATATAGGCTACATATCTGGACACAAATTCATCGTACCCCCTCCTACACACACACACACACACACACACACTATCAGGAAATGAAATTATTTCAACATCCAATACAACATAACTGCTGGATGAAAGAACTTTGAATTCCCTTAAGCTGCTGTGAAAAACCTGAACCAAAGGTAGAATTTAGGATGTTTTTTCTTCCTAACATTTCAATTAGCAGAAAAGCATTTACTTGCCAATTCTTAAAATTCATCCATGGCGATTCTTTTTAAATGAAGGTGATAAAACTAAAGGCAACGGACGCTCTTATAACCAGTTTGTCTAGGAAGTAACACGGTCAGTTACTGCCATCTAGAGGTACAATACAGAAACATTTAATTGCTTGAACTTATGTTGCCAAAAAAACTCAGAATCTTTTAATACTACATACAAATTTAGAGGAGACGTGGACAGTAAGCTACAGTTTTATTATTGTTTTCTGATACAAGGTTTCACTATGTAGTTGAATCTGGCCTTGAACCCACTAGGTAGCCCAGACTGGCCTCAAACTCACAGCCGTTCTCCTGGCACAGCCTCCAGGTGTGGGTATTACACGTGTACCCCATCATGCTGGGCTATCTACGTATTTGCTTGTTTGTTTTGTCTTTTTGAGACAGGGTCTCAATATGCAGCTCAGGCTGGCCTTGAGCTCACTTTGCAGCCCAGACTGGTCTTGAACTCTCAACAATCCTCCTGCCTCAGCCTCCCGAGTGCTGGGATTACAGGTGTGCGCCACCATGCCTAGCTTACATATTTAATTATATATGGGTTACTACCACACTGAAAGGAACTGTAGTCTACTCAGCCCTCTCCCCTAAAGTACCAATAAGCTTACCCATTTAGGAGCATTGTTTTCCTTCAGCTTTTCCTTAAAATAGTCAATAACTTTCTTCTCCCAGTCAGGATTAACTCCATTTTGGGCTGAAAGAGAAAGGTAGTTTTCAAATCTAAAGATACAATATGTAATAACAGACTATGTTCAGGTGAGTCACACCTTCGCTTACTCAGTTAAAACAGAACTAAAATTTGCTCAAGATGTGCCTTTTACAGTCTGCTGCATTCACAAGGTTCTCAAGAAGCCTGTTCTGTTCAGGTGGGGCACTGTAAATCTGGAGGGTACTGATCTGCAGACTCGCGCTAACGGCCTCAGTGCCAGCACCAACACAGTAAGAGAAGAGGCCAGCCCAGCCAAAGCAGCGTGAGCTGCCCTTTGTAAAGCACTATTCGTCAAGATATTTATGCATATTAAAAACACTTACAGTTACCCTGAAATGAGGACCAGAGGATATTTTACTTTTTGTAACTTTTCATTTGGGAATAATTTCAAAATTATACATTCACATCAGTACAAACAACACCTGTATCCTTGCCTCCTTTATCATCTGTTTTCTCATATATACTTTTCTGACCCATGAAGTTGCACAAATCATACATTTTTATTTCTCAGTATTTCAGTGTGTAGGTCCTAAGGAGGTTATCTTATAGTATAACCACAGTTTTGTTATCAAGCTCCAGAAATTCAAAATCACCTGAGGAGTTCCTGACCCCTTGCTCCTTTTTCACAACTGGTCTTTGCCTCATCAAGTAAAAGTGCTTGGAAATCCTGCTAAACATAGTGTTACCAGAATTATTTTTAACAGAATTAGCTCCATAACAAATATAGACAAAATCCCTTTATTCCATGTTTCTACAGCTTCTGTGTGATAAACACAAATGGTAGAAGTTAAAACAAATAACGCTAGGTAATAAGTACAGTGTAGTGAAAATATGTAGTTCTGCAAAACTAGCACATGTTCTCCCATTTTTTTCAGTCACAGTACTGGGGATTGAACCCAATGCACTTTACCACTGGCCTATATTTCTTTTGTGTGAGTGTGAGTGTGTGTGTGTGTGTGTGTGTGTGTGTGTTATGGGGGATTGAACCCAGTGGCTTCCTCCTGAGCTGTGTTGCCAGCCATCCTCCCATAAACATGATTTTTGAGACAGGGTCTCACTAAGTGCCCAGGACAACCTTGAACTATCTCAATATATAGCTGAACAATTTGTTTATCCATTCATCTGCTGAAGGACATTCAGACTGTCTCCAGGTTTTGAACACTATGAATGAAACAACTATAAACATTTGTGAACAGGTTCTGTTAAATATCCAGAGATGGCACAGTTGAGCATCTGGTTAAGTGTAATTTTGTTTTGTTTTTTTGAGACAGGGTCTTGCTAATGCAGTTCAGGCTGTGATTTTCAAATATTCTCTTGCAGGGCTGAGGAGATAGCTCAGTGGCACATGGCCTACCTGTGCAAGCATAATGTCCTGAGTTCAATCCCTAGTACCAAAACAAACAAACAAGAACAAAAATCAAGACCTAGCTAAACTATATAAGACCCTGTCTCAAAAAAAAAAAAAAAAAGAAGCCTACCCCAGTCTATAGCTTGTTTTTCATTTTCCTAATAGTATTTTTGTTTTGTTTTGTTTGATACAGGATCTCACTATGTACTTCTTTTTTTTTTTTTTTTTTTTTTCCTCCGGTACCAGGAACCGAACTCACGACCTTGCGCTTGCCAGGCAGGCGCTTTTGCCGCTGAGCTAAATCCCCAGCCCCTCACTATGTACTTCAACCTGGCCTCAAATTCATAACCATCCTCCTGCCTCCACCACCCATGTGCTGGGATTACAGGTATCACTGCGCCTGGCTAACAGTATTACTTTGCAGGGGCAAAGTTTCATTTTCATGAGCCCAATTTATTGGATATTGGTTTACGTACTGTGCCTTTGATGTCACGCATTAAAAGTTGACTGCTACACCTCAGGACGCAAAGATCTTCTGTTTGCCTTTCTTTTTTTTTTGAAACAGGTTTGTGGCTGGCCTTGAACTTACTATGTAGCCCAGGCTGGCTTTGAACTTGCAGTGATCTTGCCACAGCCTCCAAAGTGCTTGGACTACAAGTGTGTGCCACCATGCCTGGCCTTTTTATTTGCTTCTAGAATTTTTATGGTTTTAGGTATTATATTTAAATTTATGATCCACTACAGGTTCATTTTTACATAAGGTATGAAGTATAGGTTGAGATTCAGACTTCTGCATATGTTTAAACACCTTTCTTGAAAAGAATATATTTTTTTTCCATCAAGCTATCCTTTGCTCCTTTCTCAAAAAATGATTAGAACATGGGTGAACCTTGAAACATTTTACACAGTGAGATAACCCTGGCACAAAGTACAAATACTGCTGGGCTTTGTGGCGCATACCTGTAATCCCAGCCCTCAGACGGGAGCATCACCCTGAGCTTGAGGCCAGCCTGAACTAGATAGCTGAAGGCTAGTCTGAAATACATAGTGAGACGGTCGCAAAAACAAACGAACATAGCTGAGTAATATTCCACTATATAAAAGTACCATTATATTTTTTATCTATTCCTCTATTTAGAAACCACTTTGAAGATAGCAATACGTAATACAACCATTGTCAATTTCCTACCATTTTGTCTGTAACTCTGCATTGATCTTACGCTTTTTTTTTTTTTTTTTTTGTCTTTTTGAGACAGGGTCTCACTATAAAGTTCAAGTTGAACTCACTTTGTAGCCCAGGCTGGCCTCGAACTTGCATCGGTCCTCCTGCCTCAGCCTCCTGAGTGCTGGGATTACAGGCGTGTGCAACCACGCCCGGTATTTGTTCTTATGCTATTTTGTAAATGGATGTCTGTTAATGTTTTCCTTCTTTTATTTTTAAAATAAGTTAAAAAACAAACAAAAAACCCCAGAAAGTACAAATATTTATAGATTCTACTTACAAGAGGCAACTAGAATAGGCAAATTCAGAGAGACAAAAAGCACAGCAGAGATTCAAGGGCAGACTAGAGGCAAGGGCTGAGGGGATGAAGATGTACTTCACACTAGGGTGAGCTTAGATTGCTTGTGGTACAGCAGACAGAATAATGGCCCCTCCATGGGCTGGGGATTTAGCTCAGCGGCAAAAGCGCCTGCCTGGCAAGCACAAGGTCGTGAGTTCGGTTCCCGGTACCCGAGAAAAAACAAAACAAAACAAAAAAAAATGGCCCCTCCAAAGATGTTCACACCCTAATCCTAGAACCTGGGAATATATGTTACACAGCAAAGGGAATTAATATAGCAGATGGAACTAAGGTCAATAATCAGCTACCTTACAAAAGGGAGGTTAAATATAATTACAAAGGTCCTTAAATGTAGAAGGAAACAGAAGAGGAAGTTAGAAGAAGTTAAAGTGGTAAGATATGTGAAAAACTTGATTTGCTGGCTTTGAAAACAGAAGCAGGCCATAATCCATGTAGGCAGACTCTAAAACTTAGAAACAAATTCTCCCGCAGAGTCTGCATATAGGAATGCAAGCCCTACTGACAACTGGATTTTATCCCAGTGAGACGTCAAGTATCTGGTCTCCAGAACTGGTAATGACAAATTCACATTGTTTTAAGCCACTAAATTTGTTAAAGCAGACACAGAAAGCTAATATAGTGATTTTGAAGAACCAACCCATTCCATCTAATCGCTGAATTTACATCATACAGCTATTCATATTATCCTTTTCATGTCCATACAGCTAATAGTGGTACCATTTTTCTCATTCCAATACTGTTCATTTGTTTGCCTCTTTTCTCTATAGGGGGCCTATCAGTATCACTGATATAAAAAGTGCGTGTGTGGGGATACAGCTCAGTGGTACAGTTCATGCCCAGCACGCATGAGGCCTTGGGTTCCACTCCCAGCACTAAAGGAAAAAAGGGGCAGGAAGAGGGAAGCAAGGAAAGGAAGAGAGGAGGACAGACTTTAGGCTTCATCAATTTCTCTCTTTTTTTTTTTCCCCCAATTCCTGACTTTTACTCTCTGTATTATACCCGTTCTTCTGTTTATCTGAGTTTACTTTACTCTTCATTTCTAGATTCACATGTGGAAGCTTAAATTACTAATTTGAGTGAGATCTTTCTTTTCTTCTAAGAAATGCATGTAATACCTCTGAATACATTTTTTTCTCTGCTTAGATATATTGATTCATTGTGTTTTCTTTCTTCTTTTTTTTTTTTTAGTTCACAACTTTAAAAAATTTCGCAGGAGACTTCTTTTGAAATCATGGTCTATTTAGCAGCGTTAATTCTACATGTCTGAATTTTCCTGTCATCTCTGTGTTACTGATTTCCAGTTTACTTTTATGATGATCAGGTAACACTTCTTGGTAAGTTCGCCTCTTTGAACTTTGCTGGTGTTTGGTTTATGACTCAAGATATGATTTATCTTGCTGAATATTCCATGTACACTTAAATAGAATGTAGATGTTGTCATTAGGTGGACAAACATCAATCAGGTCTGCTTGGTTGAGGGGTGGTGGCAGTTCCTTGATTTTCTATCCACTGGATCACTTCAAGAACTGATAGAGGAGTAGTTAAACCTCCAACTCTGACTGCAGGTTTGCCTATTATCCTTTCAGGACTGCCAGTTTTTGTTCCACGTATGGTATTTGAAGCTCTACAGTTCAGTACACGTATGGTTACATCTTCCTGGTGAACTGTGTTCTCATTATGTAATGTATCTTTTGTTCACTTTTCACACTACTTCTAAAAATATTTTAAAATTTAAAAAGAACCAGACAGGTGTGGTGATTGATACACACCCTGGATTGTGGCACCTTGGGAGGCTGAGGCAAGAGGACTGCAAGGTCAAGAACAGCCTGGGTAACTTAGCAACTTAGCCTCAAAATAAAAAAATTGGCTGGGTGTGTAGCTGAGTGGGTTCATTCCCCAGAACTGCAAAATGAAAAGACAAGACAAGACAAGACTCTAAGAAGAAACTATGTGATCCAAGAAATAATAGAATTAGCTCATGAACACAGTGGGGGGAAAAAATCCCAGTGTAACAATTATGCAGAAAACTTTAAAGGTGACTGGCACAAATTAGG